CTTTGGTCTGCTCATTTCCAGGCACTGGCTCATTTCCTGCAGGATGACAAGTATATCATTTGGCTGAGTTTGATTTTCTTCCAGACGCTTACTAGAATGAGGAATAATATTCGTGACGAATCCTTTATTGACCAAGTGTGAGGTCAAGATGGCTGGATATTGGTCAAGTTCTTTGTTTGCATGTTTATGGACCTCGACTCCGTCTCGGTCCATTAACTTGCTCGGAGAAATTTTTCTTGCAGGACACGGTGGGTAGACCTGAGCAGGCAAGATGGCTCCATCTCACCCACTTGGGTAGCCAATCACAGCACAGGATTTGATTCATCTTGCTCACGGAGATAGCCGTATAATAATTGTTTTTACGAGCCTGTAATATTTGTCATTGGAGTTGTAACGATCTGTATGGTTGACCACTCAATTTTTTTTCTCTGTCTAATGTATGCCTTGAATTTTGAATTAAAAATTAACACTTGCAGAGCATAATGATATCAAAACAACAAATTCTTAACAATATGTATAAAATGTCATGGTGTCAGCTTCTCCTTGTGCCTTTTATAATGCTTAGCTTGATCTTGAAAGGGCCTGACTAGACATAAAATAGTATGACATCTTTTAAAAAACTGGGTAGATGTGGAACATGTAATGGCCAAGTGCTAAAATATTATTCCATTTATCGCTGTGATCTTGTTTCTTGTTGAGAATGATAGTTTCTTTAATTGAAGGCTGAGCCTGTAGTGGCTCAAGTTGTCAGCTGGCTCAAACAAAGACAATTTACATTTTATTAATCACATTTGGAAAAAAATCCTTTCTATCAAGGACTGCAGTGTGCACTCTGACAAAATGTGTTTGGCTCTACCAAAAATCTGGACAAAAATTCTGTCTGTGAAACATTTAATTTGGCAACCATGGGCACACTCAAAAACAGTAAAATATTTGTGGACCAAAAACTGTTAGTCGTAAGGCTAGATCAAAGAGAGATCAAAGCAAGATCAAATTTACATGATTGATGTTTTCCTTTAGATCATAGCGTATCAACTGAAAAATCTGCCAGTTTTTACGTCTGACAAAAATTTGTCCTGCTCTTTTTGAAGCAAGATGCTGGCACCTCTTAAGTTTGGTAAGGGCTGACAAAATTTGTTGGGAACAAAATCACCATGCACACTTGAATCATGGAACATACAATAGTTTTTTTGTTTGTTTGTTTGTTTGTTTTTTTTGCAAAATAAGCAAAAATTTGCCTAGTGCAAATAAAACAGGCCTATTAATCTCACAGTGTTTCATAAAAGAAACAAAACATAGATATTTTCTCTGTGCGTTCTCTGTGGCTCATGTTCCACAACATTTCTCTTTCTTCTAAACTTCCACTCATGGTTCTTCGGCTTTTAGAAGCCTCAAAAAAGTTTTCTTTGTTAGGGATTATTGATTTCCTGACAGCCAAATCACAGGCCAGCCAATTCTTCTGTTTATGTAGTCGGAGCTGGTAGCTGGGATTTACAGCCCATAATATCTTTAATATCTTTAATATCAAAGCTCCAAGATATCACAACGCCAGCATGTTACCTCAGCTAAGATAAGTTTGTTACAAGTGCATTTATGGGGCCAAGGGTTACACTTTTTGATGATTATTTTGCTTCAAAATGGCGGATGTCGCAAAACTCGGAGTAAGTACTGACTGTGAATTCGGTGGTTCGCTACGCAACGATTTTTTGTTTTTAAAATTCATTTTAATAGACGAACAAGTTCAGAGTTTGCAATTATTCAAAGGACGCTAGTTACAGCGAAAGACCTTGGAATTCTCTTGCTGAAATGGGTTAGAAAAGACGGGCGACTGCCATCGCTTGATCACAACTGTACATGTGTTTTATTGATGACTTCTTTGCTATCTGGTGTGGGCCCAAAGGTACCCTCTTGGAATTTCTTAATGCTCTCAACAGCAAAACTGATCAAATCAAACTAATCTATTGTATTAGCGAAAGTAGCATTTCTTTTCTGGATTTGTTTCTCTATAGAGATACCTCTTCGAATGTGCTGCGATTTTCCACCTTTCAAAAGCCTCTTAATAAATATGTTTACATACCCTTTGAGTCGTTTCACCCTTCTAGCAATAAGAAAGCCTTCATCAAAGGGGAACTTATGAGGTATGCTAGAGACAGTTCTTCCTTTAATTCATTTTATGAAACAAGGGAAAGTTCTGGAAGCGACTACGAGTTAGGGGGTAGCGAACCATTGAATTCACAGGCAGTACGGTGAGTTTTGTGACATCTGTCATTTTGAATTTTGAAAACCGCTGACCTGACTCATAACTTGACACATGGCTCATTGACTCGTGACTCATGACCCATTGACTCATTTGACTCATAAAACAGGAACTGTCTGCAAAGGTAATCAAACGATTTTGAGTGCAATGTGGAATAAATAACATTCTTAAATTTTTCAGACTAAAAGAAATTACAGCAGCCCATAGTCTGATAGAGCGAGTGCAATTAGTAGTCAAAATTTATGAGTGCTAATATATGTTAATTCGTGATCCTTTGTAAATTTTTTTTGTAAGTTACAAGAGTGTCTTATTTTTCCTCTATTTCCTATGGACTTTGCCCATTTGCAATTCTACAACAGTACTGTTTTTCCTGAATTCATACCACACTGAACTTTTTTCAATTATTTTAACCCATGAAGTCCAATTTATAACATTGAATCTCATATAGAGTCGCAACTTCTTTTAAACTATTTTTAATTTAGACATTTAATTGAAGGCTCAAATCTACACATAACTGCGCCACAAATTTCCTAAATTGAGTGTGATTTGCATGACTATAATTATGATTGACTAGAAGATCAAGTTTCCATGGCCACATAAACACATAGCACTTAAATAGGGGATCTTTACTGGAAGACAAGGGAGTGAGAGTGTTACAATTGGTTATTCTGAGCAGAAATAACTCACATTATTACATGGCAAGGTAAATCTGGGCATTCTTATTGGTTCTTTCCACGGAATTGGTCATAAGCCATGCTTTTTTTTATTATCGAGCTTGCTCGAGCCATACTGAGGAATATTGATCCTTGGTTATTGTACAGACCTCGCTGTGCTTGGTCTGTGCTGCCACAACCTTGGACCAAATTATTCCCCAGTACAGCCCTTGTGCTCTGGGTTAGTAGGAAGTTTATACTTTGCGTTCCAGCCTCTCGTATGCAAAAGGTTAAATTTAATTGATTTAATTAATTTAATTAATTAATTAAGCAATTAATTAAGCGATTAATCAATGAATTGAATAATTAATTATTGGCTAATTTATTAACCCCCTTATTTTTGATAAGTTTAATCTGAGGGGGTGCATTTATCTGACATTCATATCACAGCATCCTACTTGTATCATGCAAAGCTGATGTAAAATGAATGAGTATGAAAATATATTATTAAAATCACTGACTAGCTTTTCCAAAACTTGAGTGCGGAATGACCAAGAGAATTACGTTTGGGAGAGAAAGTGAAACTGTTTGATTATTTAGTAGACAGCTTCAAAGTGAGGAACCTAGTTCATGGAGAAACTTTCTTTCTCCCATTCATTTACTCACTCACTCACTCACTCACTCACAAACTGGAGTACAAACTGGCAAATATGAAAATAGAGGAACATTAATTCCAATAGAAGAGCTAACATGTTTAGTATGCAAAGAAAATTGTATAGAACATTGTCAGGGGTATACCACTTTACGACGTGAGCTGCACTCACATATTTTAAACCCAGATACTCGTTACACCAGTCAAAGTGATAACAAGAGGACCAAGTATTTACTTAGAGCAGACAATAAAGTTGCATCTAAAATAATAGGTACATATACTATTATTGTTACTCCAAGAGAATATATGAAGCATATATTTGAACTGCAGAGAAAGATATGAAGACATGATTGATCATCGCAATTATTCACAACTTAAGCAGTTGTGAAATTAAAGTCTGAAAAAAGAAATTCAAGCCTGAACGGGATTCGAACCCATGACCTCTGCGATACTGGTGCAGTGCTCTGATCACGTTGTGAGTTTGTAATTTACCCGGAGATGATGAAGAATGCAAGTGAATAAATGAAACATCATATATTTGAACTGTGGTGAAAGGTATGAAGACATGATTGATCAATCATGTCTTCAAATTACCATTACCATTACCATTACCATTACCATTACCATTACTCACTCACACGTACGCAAGCACGCACCGATGAATTCATTTAATCGGTCGGTCATTCTTTCATTCTTTCTTCCTTTGTTCTTTTTTCGTATTTTTCTGTCTTTCTCTCTGTCTGTCTTTCTTTATTTATTTCAATTCACCTAGCAACACATCCAGTCAGTTTGCCAGACTATCCTCAACTTGAATACTTAAAGACGCCGTCTAAGTCACTGTGTGGTGTACGTTCCTGAACTCCAGAATTTGGTTATTTCACCTCGTCATTGAATACAACGTAGAAATGCACAAACATTTATAACGCCAATGCAGAGCTGTTTTTAACTAATTAAACCTTTTGTTTAGCGATATTGTCGTTCCTTAAGCGCTGTCACAGTAGGAATTTTTTCTTGCTAGGTATCTCGTGATTTTGTTGCGCTATAAGTCGCAAAAGAAATTTCGTAGTGGAAGCTCAGCTATAACCTCCCTCGGCTCTGAATGAACAAGTCTCGCAAGTTATTAGCGTTGCTACAAGGGTTGCACGCTGGTTAAAATTGCTTTGTAAGTTGTGAGATCATGGCTAGAATTTCCTCTTTTAAAATGAGAATGATATATGGATTGTTTTGTCATGTTAATTTTTCCAGAGGATGTCAGAGGACTAATCGGTAATGCCCATAGTATGTAAATGTAATTGTAAATGTAAATAAATGTAAATGTAAATGTAAATGTAATTTGTTTCCCCTCGGAGCACCAAGGAGTTCACAAGAACTCGTTCAGAAATGTCCGTGCATTCAAGGATCGAATTGGAATTTGAGAAATGTTGGTTTTTGAGGAGAGGGGAAAACGGGAGTACCCGGAGAAAAACCTCTCGGAGCAGAGAAGAGAACCAACAACAAACTAAAGTATTTTGTTGATAGCTGCGTCTTTTTTGCTTGAGAGCACCAGATTAGCTCTGGACGCATTAGGCTAGGATATTGTTCCTTCGGCAGTTTTAAAACCTGTGTTAACTAGTTAGAGACAAATTGTAAGTCATCTTCACAAACTGGAAACGGGTTTTTAGATGTAAGAAGATAGCTCTGTTCTTTACTCCTCGTATGGGTCAGATGGAAACTGTGGAAGGTTTTACTGGAGCTTTCATTTTCAGGTAAGCATGAAAACCGTACTTTTGCTTTATTTTATTGTTTTTTCTTTGCACTTTTTATGAAGCAAGTACTTTGTACCAAGCACAAAAGGCTGGAACTGAAGTTGGTTTTGCTTCTGGTTGTCTTAGGGCTATTTCAGCTCTTCTAGAAAATTGACAAAGGAATTGTTGTGCTCGCAACAAACTCGGTAGCCAGCATCTCGTTCATGTTTGCAGCACGAGAAAAGAGAATACATTGGAGAATATATTGGCCTGAGGGCATGGCAGTATGGACCGAGCGCAGCGAGGTCCGTACAAAAACGACCGAGGGCCGATATGCTAGGTTTGTAAGTAGTCTGTTATATGGCACCCGAGCCATGCTTCTTTATGATTTGCCAACTTTCGAAAACAAAAAATACACGGCTTATAACTGTTTCCATATAAACGATCCGTATGGCAAAATCCGACCAAGAAAGAACCGATTAGAACACTCGGATTTACCTAAAGACTACCTTACGGTAATACTACCTTACTACGGTAATATAGCGGCGTGCTTATTCAGTCTTGCAGTGCGGGTAAAGCAAAACATAAGACTACAGGAAGAACGATTGAACGTCATCTCTGGCGCGCCTGAAATAGAGGGTGAGAGAGTTAAAAAGGAAAGACTGACTTGTGACGCATATTTTTTAGGCGATGAAGCATAATCATCCCCTAAAGTAACATTGGACATCGATTAGTATCTATGTTGCTCGTAAGGTGCACTCGCCGTTGAATTTCGACCCCGACCAATGGAAGCATGAAGCCTTTATCAGGGTTAGCTAGCGAAACAAACCTACAATTCTACCTACTCTGGGAAAGTAACAAGGCTCGCTAGCCCAAGAGTAATCTAAAGTTCTTCTGTCATTTCCAATACTGTCAGCAATCGATACAGGTAAACATTTTCTCAACATTCCTACGGATGTTTGTGTTGACTTTCGCAAGAGTCGATATCAGTCGATGAAAAAATCCTATCAATTGACATTAATTGATATTAATAGATATCACGTGAATTGAAATCACAGTTTTTCTTTCCATCGACTCGTGATTTTTATTCGATTCTTCGCTCATGGAGTGATTGCATTTGGAGCCCTTATTGACCTTGTAATTACTACGGTTTAATAGCTTTTTGAGTGACATATCCCCGTTAGAAATTAGTCTAACTCGAAGGCTAACTGAAAGTCCCACTCGATGTACAACTGGCGTGAATACAATGGCAAAGGGTTTAACTCCTGCGATAAAGTAAAGACGGTATATGCCTGGTTTAATACCTAGTACCAAGTTCAAAATGTGCTAAAAAAAGGTCGAGAGTCAAAGTGTCAATGGTATTTTTTGGGAGGAGTGGGGAGGGGGAGCTTGCGTATTCCTCTAGACGCTTGTAATAATTGAGTATACAATAGAATGATAATTGGTGTACAATGGAACGCAACAGTCGCTTGACAAACAATCGAACTGTTATCGTTAATCAAACACCAGCATTCCACGTTCCCACAGCATTTTTCGTCGGTTGTGACCTCAAATGTCACGTGATTTTGATTTTGGTTCCCTCACGAGTAATTTTAAATGTTTTAAAGATGCATATTTCATCCAATAATGGGCAGGTCCCTATACTATCTTTATCTTTTCTTCACAGACACACCTCGCAAAGCTATGGCGCTCTCCCGTTATTGGAAATGCGCTTTTTGCTTTTTTGGCTTTATCTGTCTCTTAGCAGCGTTGTCAATATTTGTATTGGCTGTACGTCTAAAAAGGTATATATGCCTGATATTTGACATATTTAGCTAGTAAGACGTATGTGTAAAATTATTAAACGTCTATCCTAAATGTACTTCTGTAGATAAGTTTGGAAAATATTAAAGACGAGGTATTCATTGTTCATTGTAGATAAATAAGGAGATTGGTTTATTTCGGATCTGCTTGTGACGACGTTCACCTCGAGTATGTTATGATATCAAAATGAATCAGTTTTAATTAAGCATGTGAGAGGCAGGTGATAACGAATTCCCATATCTAATCAGTAGAAGTCTTGGTCACATATGCATCTCTATACGTTTTGCAAGTTAATTTTAAAGTAGCCCAGGTTTATCATCACGATGCTCCCTATCTGTTGTAATGCTAATGTAATAATTACGTATGTTCTCAAGGTGTTGTTTTCTTCAGACCGCATTTTCGACACATAGACAACATATAATGTCTGATGTAAAATGTAAATTTTAATGGCTGTTTCTTATCATCTTTACTTTCGATGCCAATTTTTGGCGAAAAAGTATCGTGCGAATCGTTATAATATTGCTACTATCATCTTGACCGATTGTGGCCATATCGTGAGCTTGAGAACCCGTGGTTAAACATTCCAGCACATAACAAATGTGTGATCATAAAGATTTAACCAGATGCTCTTTTTCAAACTAAGAGTTAGATTTGGGTACAAGAAACTAGTGGCTTAACTTACATCAAATTATGTTACTTCACAGATGCGACCAGCGCCCATTTGAAGTTAGTCATGATAAAAGATACCACGCCCCCTGGTTTAAAGAGAGCATTGTAAAGGAACTGAATGAAATCCACCTGGAAATGCAAAAACTACCCACCTCTAAACAAGCACCCTCGACAAGATTGATTCAGCGATTAGGACGCATTGTAAAACGTCTTGACAACAGACTAGAACCGGCAAGTGCACCCATTGAGACAAGCAACAAGGATGGTAGCGTGGATGTGTGCGCGGAGGTGTACAAAGGGAACAAGCTGGGTTATCCTTACTTTGCGGAGAAGTGCTGGTACACCACCAACTGCACCAATGCTAAACCAATTCGTTCTGTGGTAAGTATTTTAGTCAATACTGTTGCATATCCTAAGGAAGATGAGAACCACGTCGAGAATGTTTTAAAAGGGATTACCGAGACGTACCCAACAGTTCAGGTTCAATTGGCAACGGGAAGTAACGAGATGAAAAAGGTTGCCGAAAAGTATAACAACATTGATGTCGTTATGCTGGACGATACAAAGCTAAGCAAAGCGTGGAACACACTTATAACAAAAACCTCAACTCCTTATGTACTCGTTGCACGTGACATTTTCCACTTTACATGGCTCACCCAGCTTGAGCGGCAAATTCGTGTGGTGAGTCGGATACCAAATGTTGCAGTTGCAGGCGGAGCATACCGTAATGTCTCGGGTCACTGGAAAGCTGGCTGTGTGCAGACTAAGCTAAAGAACTACGTCCTGGAATACCAGGAAGGCTATTATCACTCAAAGAATGAGTGCATGTTCTGTGATTATCTGCAGGGTCCTTTCGTTACTAAAACAAGTCTGTTGAAGCTTGACGAGAACCTTCCAGATGAGGTTGTGTTCGAAGATTGGTTTTTAAGCGTTGTTCAAGATGGCGCCCTGATCATGGCATGTCCAGATGCTATGTATTTCACTAGAGATTACCATTCATATTCCAAAAGAACTGATAAGAAGGTGTGGACACCATTGGCTAAAAAGTGGGAGCTTAATCGGGTGTTACAACCCCAGGGAGTCAAACATTCCTTTACTTGTCAAGATATTGGTTTTACATGCAATGCCCAGAGCGGTTTACTCCCAGTTTGCTGTCAGGAACTCTATAAAGAAGCCGTGTCTTTTTTCCAAAAGTTTGCCGATGAGCACAATGTCAGATTCGAGCTGGATAGTGGTTCAGTATTAGGCGGTGTTAAGTTCAAAGGCCTTATTCCTTGGGACATTGATGGCGATTTCTTCGTATTGTCCACAGATATCGAAATTTTTAACAAAAAAGAGACAATAGAACATTTCCGGAAAAATGGTTACAGCCTAACCGAGTATGAAACACCAATGCTTGACGGAAAAAAATACATGTATGACGGATATGTGAAAGTTAACTTCAACGGATTTTATATTGAAGTATTTGGCACGACTGCTATGTCAAACACTGTGTATCTTCCAACAGAACTGCAAAAGCATGAAACGTTCACCAAAGCAAGCATTCGGGGTAACTGGGTTGATACGAAGTATAGTCCTGGTTTGTACGCAAGGAATCGGTACGGAAGAGAAATACTAAAGCATTCCCAGTCCTGGTTCAAAGTGGGATTACCACACAGTTTTGCTGACTATGAGACTGGAAGCTTCCTACCTTGCAAAAATCCTCTGCACCACGCTTGCCTGAGTAGTTTCCCTGGCGACGGTGACATTCCTTTTTTAGTGGCATAGCATCAGCTAACCTCCCTATAGTATTGTTATATTCCTAAAACCTTTCAGTGATGGCTTTTTTCCTGGTGAAATTTGTCAGAGAGATGATAAATCGATAAGATTAATTGGCAAAAGTACTTCGTGTCGCCGAATTATAATCAAGACAACAATGACGATGAATGCAGGTAATAGTCTTTATTAATGAATGAATGAAAAAAGCAGATGTTTATAAAGCTTTTGTCCCTGTAAAGTTAGCTCTCACGGTTTACAGACCGAATTGTTGTCCACTCAGTTCTATATATCACCATCATTTGTTATATCATTGTAGCTAGGGCTTTTTACGAAATAACGCGCGCCGTGATTGGGTTAATTGTAGTCGTAGCCGTTTTTTCCAGCTTTAATTCCCGTATGCATTGTGACCATTTATGCTTAGCTGGCTGGAAAAACCAGCTGATGAAAAACCATTCAAAAAAACTTGTTCTTACACCACCATCTGCAGCCCGACAAATCCTAAGCCGTATTGAGGGAATATTGCTTGAGGTCTCATTGGTAAGGATCGAGCGGCTCGGATAACACGAAGTGCTTATTTTATAGCTAGGGTTTGTAATGTTTTTTTTTTTAA